TGGCAGGGGGAGGAGGCGAGAAATCATGAAAGAATGGAAAAAATCTGCAGTTTCAGGAATATTTATAGAAGGACAAGGAATTGACAGACAAAACTGACACCATTTTTGATACGTAGAAATGATACAGACTCTCAAAAGGGCTAAATATATCGGTCAAAAGTGCCAAGAGGCATTACAGAGTATTTCTGAATAGGGTCAAGAGATAATTTCTGTTGCCAGATGTACATAGCCATGCATTGATACATCCAAGAGCAAGAAATAGTGACTGACCTTGCTGGGAGAACAGAAGGGTTGGAAAGACCTAGGGCGCAGGGCTCACCTGCAATCATGTGCAAGTTCTCAGCCAGACACTGAAGATGTCTTTAAACATCTTTTATCCACATGTGACATTGGTGTCCTTCATCCTGCTTTGCATCAGAGATTAGAATAGATGGACCAAAGACTCCTGTCCATGATTCCAGGCTGGAAAAAAAAATGTTTTGAAAGTGAAAAGTTTAGTTACTTTGCTCCTAAAGCAAAAAAGACAAGTGAGCATTTTTGCACAGTGCCTAAAGTCTCTTCATGATGTTGGTGTGGATGGCAGTTTAGTCAGGCTGATAAAGGCATACGAGGATTCTGAGGAGATGGGGAAGCTGGAGGCCATGTGAGATTTGGTACTTGGTATCCAGCACCTAAACCAGTATCCAACTTGGCAGCTGAAAAATGGAGATTGCAGAGATTACAAACCACCTTCTTTTTAAAATTTTCCTCTTCTGTTGCAGGACTCAGACCAAGGTCAGCAAAAGTTGCTCACTTGTTTGTTGGAGGTTTGGGCAATGTCAAAAGAGGGCTTTGAGGCCTGCATGTAGTATTTCTCATACAAGTAATTAGCAACCTTGAATTTCACCCAGGATTTTAATAACCCAGTCACTCAGTCACAAGATCCTTCTGCACCTTTCCACAGGCTCATTCAGGGCTGAATGTTTTGGGTCATTTTGCATAATCAACACACCTTGGCACCCTGTGCTCCAAATTGTTCTGAAAGTGTCGATTGGTAGGGCAGATCAGCTCAGATGCTGGCCACTCACATCTCTCAGTTGCCACCAGCCTTGCCACAAGTTTTCAGCCTGGAGAGGCTGGCCTTCTTCCCTGTCCTCAGGCAGTTCTTTGAAAGGTTTTGCCAGCCTGCTTTTTCCTAAATTCCATTTCTTTTCATCATGGGGGGGGGCTGAGGTGAGTGGTGAATTACTTGCAGCACAGGTACCTGTCCATCCATTTCATGCTGGAGACCACCGAGTCTCGCATGTGGCTTGCTGCCCTTCGTGTCACTGACATGTTCTCAAGTCCTGATGCTTCAGTTTTCAGTCGAGGCTCCATCTCATTGCTGCTGAGGAAAATCTCCTGTCTGGCAACACCCCAAAGCTCCTCTGAAGGCAAAACATCAACTTTACTTTTCATTCATGGACTTAAGCTTCTCTAATCACTCCCACCGGCTTTTTGGCAGCTTTCTTATCTCCAAGATGCATTTGAAAGAGGTTTTCAGTCTTCCTTTTCTATTTGTCACATAATCTCTTTCTTTTTTTCCCCTTTACAGTTACTAAGCCTCATTTACTAGTATTTATGAGTTTTTCCTTTGTTTTCATTTTGACTACAGCTTCTGCTTTTTGACAGCTGCCTTTTCAAATCTTACGCTGTGAAGTATAACCCAGCCCTACTGTTCCTTCTAGGGAACACTTAATTAACTCCCTCAAGAAGATGATACTTCTGTAGTAAGGTAATTTATGGAGGTAAGTCAGCTGTCCTAGAGTAAAGAGATTACATTCAGCTCAGAAGAGTAAGTAACAAATTACTTGTTTTTGCAGCATGTACAACACATTGGGATTGCCCAAAGGTAGGCAGCTTGGTTTTGATGAAATGTGAGCACTGCTGGAGCCTGCAGGGGTATTTGCATACCCTAAGTCATGAACCTGCATTTTGTGAATGACATCAGTTATGAAGGAGGTTGAAACATCATCCTTTAAGATGTTTGTCTTTTGTAACTGTGTCATAAGTCTTTCAGAGACCTGTATCTACTCTTCCTTGCCCTGGTCCTGCCAATTGCTTTGCTTAAAGACTGATTTACTTCAGAAGTGGATACAGGATGTTTTAAATGTCCAAGACCTTTTTTCACTGTGCTTACACAGTTACCATTTTGTTATGTTTTGGATTGAATTTTCAAGTGAACTTAACTATTTTCCACATCTGCTCAAGCTGGTTTTCACTACGTGGCATCTTCCTTAATGCTGAAGTTTCATGCTGAGATCTCAACCTGAAGGTGGTCTGAGAACCTTTCTTGGGGAAGCAATGCATGTGTAGTAGTCTGTGCAAAAATACCAAGGAAGTATAAAGTAATTTCTCTAAATGTTCAAAGTTATCATAAAACTAAATTTTCTGTAACATCACTGCTAGTTCCCCTTAGCTGTCTTAAAAAAAGGAGAATAAAACATAGAGCTTACCAGCCCTAGGAATGGTTGGCTGCCCATCAGAGAAGCTGTCCCTTGGGGGCAGCCAGAGAGCTTTCCCAGAGCATCCCTCTCCTGCAATGGCTCTGCACAGTGAGCCCTGCTGCCTGGCCAGCCAGGGAAGGCAGAGTCAACCCTTTAGCCAGGATCAGGTCTTTCTGCACCTTTCCCTTACAAGGTGCTCACAAACCAGGATGGATTCTGGCTTGTGGCTGCTGCTCTTGGAGTTGGTTTGTCTCAGCAAAGTGCCACAATTGCTTTTCACTACCTTGCTGAATGAGAGCCTCTTCATGTCTGCCTGAGCGCCTGCCTTGCCTGACCAAGCATTTCTGTCTGCTTTCCATAAAAACACTGGAGCAAAGAGAACAAACCTAGAGCTCCCCTACCTGGGGGAAAACTCCTCTCCAGAGACAGAAGCAGCTGCCACAGATCTCTCTTTATTTCAATGCCATCCAGAGTCATATATGTCAATTTTGCAAACTGATGGGAAAAAAAAAAATTACATGGGTTTTTTTAGGTCAGGGTTGCAGTTCTCAGGCTGGCCACTGAGCTAGTTTTTCCATCTGTCCAGAGGGGCCTTGCTGTGGTACCATCTGTAGGTACAGCGTCTGGATGCAAAATAAGGATCTGGAAGAGCTGTGCATTTTAGGGAGGTTATATTAGAGAGAGGAAACCAAGCCCTCCAGGCAGTCCAAAAGCTGCATGACTAGTTTGCCACACTTGCTCTCCCTGTTTCCATACAAGACCAACCATGTTTTAAATGCTGTGATTCCTGGCTTTCCTCACCTCAATACCATATAATTTTTCTGGGAGAGATCAGATTGTAAAGCAGTTAAAATAGCATTTGAAAACAGAGTGAACCATTATTCAAGACATTCCCAGCAGCTGTTGGTCTGAGAGCACATACTCTTCCTCCACCCCGAGGCTGTATGACTTTGCTCATTCCAAGAGCAATTTGATCTCAGGTTGGATAGGGCTCACGCTTGTTAAATAACAAGAATTTGCTCTAGAATTTTCAGGTAGTCTTATCTCACTTAGGAAACATAAAGCTTTTTAGAAGAAAAATTTGACTCATATAAATGTTCCAGCTTTTAACCCAGTTCAAAATATGCTTTACATGGGAAAAGAGGACATCTATCCTTCTCTCCCTTCAGATGTTTCAGTAGCCTCTGCACTTCCAGATTATCAAGTGAGGCTCTGACTGGCACGCACACAATATGCAAGCAGGCGCACACAGCACAGCCATTCAAAGCACCCAGGCAAGCAATCAAGGACAGGATGGGACCAACCCAAGACTCATTTGCAATCTTGACAGGTCTCCAGGCTACATAGCCCCCCCAGCAGAAAGCCAGCTCCATGGGAGGGCTGCCTCCAGTGAGCTCCAGCACCAGGGCAGCTCCCGTTTGACGCCAGAATTACCTAAAGCTCCAATGACGGGGCCACTTCTGGTGTAATCCAAGTATTTCTGCTGTCCTAGGGCTATCAAGCTGCTCAGAATCCCAGTTCCTATCCAGAGGCAGGTTATTCAACCTCTTCTCTTTGCAAAATAACTTTGAGTCATCGCCCTCTAGTCCAGCAAACATTTCATTCTTACGCAGCCCAACTGCTGGAGATAAGCGGCTCTGGGAAACAGTGTCCAGCATACCTTGATCCCGAGAGTTTAAATCCTCCAGCTTACGTCCTTGGAGCATCCAGATCAGGGTCTAAAGCACTTGGGGTCTGGACAACAGCTCCAACCGTGCCTGCCAGGGAGAGAACACATCAGCCCTGAGATGCTAAATTAAGCTGCTAAAAATGGAGTTCCACGTGATTTTGTACAGTGCATTGCTTATCTGTCCTGGTGCTCACAGGTCACAGAAGGCTCTGTCGCTGCCCAGCGGCATTCATGCTCCCAGAACTAATGCAGGGAGGCAGAGGGCTGACACTCACCTTGCAGAGATTTGCTGCTCAGCAGCTTAACTGCAACTGCCCCTCCTTACGCACAGAATTAAGCCAGAATTAAGACTGGCCACCACCATGCGGATGATGGCCTCCCACACGTCCCTAGGCAGCCATTTCCTCTGGGGCAAAGCCAATTCATTTCAAAAGGCAGAGCAAGTGAAATACCCGCCTTGTAACACCAGCAAGTATCTTCCTTGTCCCCTGCTGAGTCTAAGGAAAGAATTAATTTGTTTCTTGTGCCCTTTTACCAAACCAAATGCACGAGTCATCTGCTCAGCACTTTTATTCTGCATGCGCCCATCAGACATGCAAATCCAGAGCTGGGTGGATGGAGCCAGAGCTGCTTCCCATCCTACCATGCAGAATTTTGCTGTGGAGCATGGCCCTGCACCACCCACACCTTGTTTTGGCTCCTGGGCTGGACTCTAGGCTCTCCCACGTGGAACAAACAGCTCAGCAGGCTGCACTCCCCAGCTTCTCATGGCAGCTGGCAGAGACTGTGCCATGCAGGCGCTTGCAGCTGCTCACTACATACATTCATCCCCCCCCACCTCCCTCCGACAGACAGACAGACAAGGCTTGTCAGATGGTGATCACTTTTATTGATGTAAGGTGGTACACAAACAGATCAGTTTCTATCAGCCTCTCCACCTCCCCCAGGCTCGGGGAGAAGTTGGAGGAGTGGGGGAGACAAGGGAACAGAACTGGCCTCTCACTGCAGGATGCAGAGCTAAGCGGTGGTGAACAAGGGCAGGGGCTCCAACAAAGGAGAGTCCTGCTTCCCTAGGCAGCAGGGGGGGCTGTGTGCTCAGCTTACTCCTGGGATGCCATGTGGACCATCAAGTCCACAACACGGTTGCTGTATCCATATTCATTATCATACCTGGGGACAGAAAACAAGCGTGTCAGGGCTGACCCATTTCTTGCACCCCTTCTTCCATTCTTCCTGCTCCTCTGCCCCATCCCACACAACTGAACTCCAATCTACCCTCTGGGGGAAAGGAGGTAGCTACAGTAATTTCAGGTAAGAAGCACTCTCATCTCACTCCACGGTGAGACTGGAGTTCTGTGTATCCACCTGGATCACCAGTGGTAAGCAGCAGGACACCCAAGTCTGTAACCTGTCTGTGCCAACCCCCAGATTCTCCAGGGCTGCACCTACCAGGAAACCAGCTTGACAAAATGGTCGTTCAGTGCAATGCCAGCACCCGCATCAAAGGTGGAGGAATGGCTATCACCATTGAAGTCACAGGAGACAACCTGAAACACAAGACATTGGAATGCATATGGCTGCCCACAGTCTCTATCCCAAGTGCCCAAACCAGGACCCTGGCAAAGCTGCTGCCAACAGCCTTTTGGACAGATGAGGCAAGAGCCAGTAAGTGCAGGCTGAGAGAGCAGGCACTGCTCACCTGGTCCTCTGTGTATGCCAGGATGCCCTTCAGGGGCCCATCAGCAGCAGCCTTCACTACCCTCTTGATGTCATCGTACTTGGCCTGAGGAGACACAGATCCAACATCATCAGATCCCAACTCACACAAAATGTCCACTGGAGACAGGGCAGGGAGGAGACACATATGGCAACACCCAGCAGGTGCTCTTTTCCCAAAAAGGACAAGATGGGTGCAGAGAGGGCAATTCCAGGTGCAACAGAGAGCTCAGAGGAAGCAGAGGCACATCTGGAAGTTGTTACGGTCTCATCCACAACACTTACTGGCTTCTCCAGACGGCAGGTCAGGTCCACAACAGAGACATTAGGGGTTGGCACACGGAAAGCCATTCCAGTAAGTTTCCTGTGGGAGACATGAGTCAGTAAGGAACAGCATCTGGCACTCCTCTGCCAGTGTAGCAATGTTTGGCCTCCTCCTGACACCTGAGAAGGGACAATACTCACCCATTGAGCTCAGGAATGACTTTTCCCACAGCCTTAGCAGCTCCAGTAGATGCTGGGATAATGTTCTGAGCAGCACCTCTGCCATCTCTCCAAAGCTTCCCAGAGGGCCCGTCCACTGTCTTCTGTGTGGCTGTGATGGCATGGACAGTGGTCTGAAGAAAGAGCACAGGAGTAAGAACACAGCCAGTACTCCCCAAAAAGAGCATCCCAGGTGACACAGGGAGTACAGATGCTTTCCCTCTCACACGAGGGCATCTGTAGCAGGTCACTCTCCTCAGCACCAAGCTGCAGACCTACCATGAGACCCTCCACAATGCCGAAGTTGTCATGGATGACCTTGGCCAAGGGCGCCAGGCAGTTAGTAGTGCAGGAAGCATTGCTGGGGTAGAGAGATAAAGGCACATCAGCCAGAGGCAACACTTCCACTAGGATGAAGTGAAGTGAGACCCCTGGCAGCTGCTGAGAGCTGCAGGCCAGAAAGCACGCTCCTCTCTCCTTACCTGACAATTTTCAGAGACTTGTCATACTTCTCATGGTTGACACCCATCACGAACATGGGAGCATCAGCAGAGGGGGCAGAGATGATCACACGCTTTGCACCACCCTTCAGGTGAGCCTGGAGAAAGAGACAGAGAGAGAGAGATAAGATATTACATAACTCAGGATCCTTCCAAGCTTGCTTCTTCAGATCTCCTTCACAGCCCCATCCTGAGCAGCTCTGTACATAGTGGCATGCCTGACAGGCAGAAAGCAGCCCTATCCCTTCTCTCCTGTGCCTCTGTGGCATACTCACCCCAGCCTTCTCCATGGTGGTGAAGACACCAGTAGACTCCACAACATATTCAGCACCAGCATCTGCCCACTTGATGTTGCTGGGGTCACGCCTAAGGAGGGACAAAATTTTACAAGCTGCTCCATGAGACACCTGCTTTCAATCTCCAGAGGAGCAACTGGGAAGAGATACTTACTCCTGGAAAATGGTGATAGCATTCCCATTGATAACAAGTTTCCCATTCTCAGCCTTGACAGTGCCCCTGAAGTGGCCATGAGTAGAGTCATATTTGAACATGTAAACCTAATAAAGAGATGGGGAGTGGAAGGTCAGGCACCCAGGCTGCCATCATCCACTAACACCCTGGGAAGTTACCAGAATAGATCCAGAAGAGCCCTACTCAGAAAGGCCCAGAGGGGGCACTGCAAAGCAACTCACCATGTAGTTCAGATCAATGAAGGGATCGTTGATGGCCACCACTTGGACTTTGCCAGAGAGGACGGCAGCCCGGGTAACCAGGCGGCCGATACGGCCAAATCTGGAGAGAAAAAGACAAGGGTGAGGAGGTGCAACAGAGAACCAGCCCAGCTGGGCACGGGAGGCAGTCCTTGGCAGCCTTCCCTCGGGATCATCGGCTGCTCCCTGCCCATGAGGGCGGGAGGGAGTCCTGCAGCTCGTCCAAAGGCCAAGGCACCCCGGTTAAAGATTAAGAGCGACCCCCGCCCCAGAAAGGTCAATCGCTAAATTTACTGAGAGCCCCGGGGATCCGGTTACTCCTCGGCCCGGCACGAGAAGGTCACAGCCCCAGGGCCGCCATCGACACACGATCCACCGAGAGACCTTTTGGTGGGGGGCTGCAGGGATCCCCGGGAATGGGGAGGGAAACTGGGGCAGCCGAGCAACGGCAGCCCTTTCCGGAGTGAGTCACCCCGAATCCGAGGAGAAATGAGTCAGCAGCACCGCTCTCTGCCCCGGGGGGCGCCGGCGGAGCGGGACCGGCGGGATTCAACCTCTCCCTCTCCCCAAATCTTCCCCCCGCGCCCTTGAGGCGACCTTGCCGGCCCCCCCGCAACCCCCCCCAGATCCCTGCTGGTCCCGTCGGCCCCGGCACTCACCCATTGACTCCGACTTTCACCATCTTTACCGCTTCGGGATGTTCCTGCGGGCAGAAACACCGGTAGGGTTTGAGGGGAACTGGCA